AAAACAGGAAAAGATTTCCCATAAGAACCATAATAATAATTATGGAGAGCTATTTAAGCTGTATTTGATAGTTGGAACAATGACAGAGCTAAATATTATAGAATTCTTAACAAGATTCCTGAAGATTGGGGAACTGCAGTTAATGTCTAAGCTATGGTTTTCGGTAATATGGGAAATACATCAGCAACAGGAGTTGGATTCACTAGAGATGCATCTACAGGAGAAAATATTTTCAATGGAGAATATTTGATTAATGCTTAAGGAGAAGATGTCGTTGCAGGTATCAGAACACCATAATAAATCACTTTGGTTGGATCAAAAAGATGGGCTGAATTATAAGGAGTTCCTGAAGAAGTCAGAAAAGCCTAATTCCCATCATTGGAGGAATCATTACCAGAAACTTATTAAGAATTGAAGAATGTCTAAGAGAAATTAGAATAACACTTCAAAGATATGTAAGATATTGAATTCACTATTCAAAATGGAAAATTATGGTTATTATAATGCAGAAATGGTAAAAGAACAGGTGCTGCCATGGTTTAAATTGCTTGTGATTTATTCAGAGAAGGAAAGATTGATGAAAAGACAGCTCTTAAGAGAATTGAACCAAATAAATTAGATGAATTATTACATCCAATTTTCACTCCAGAAGCTTTGAAAACAGCTAAATTTGTTGCTAAAGGTTTACCAGCATCTCCAGGTGCAGCTTCAGGATAAATTGTTTTCTTTGCTGATGAAGCTAAGAAATTTGCTCAAAGTATTTTAGTAAGAATTGAAACATCTCCAGAAGATTTGGAAGGTATGAACATTGCTAGAGGTATTTTGACAGCTAGAGGAGGTATGACTTCTCATGCTGCTGTCGTTGCAAGAGGAATGGGTAAATGTTGTGTTTGTGGTGCTGGATCATTAAATATCAATTATAAATAAAGAACACTTGAAGTTAATGGAAAAGTTTATGCTGAAGGTGATTGGATTTCATTGAATGGATCAACAGGAGATGTCTTTGAAGGAAAATTATAAACATAAGAAGCATAACTCAGTGGAGATTTTGGTTTGATTATGGATTGGGCTGAAAAATATACAAGAATGTATGTTAGAACTAATGCAGATACACCAAAAGATGCATAAATTGCTAGAAAATTTGGTGCTAAAGGTATTGGATTGACAAGAACTGAACATATGTTCTTTGAAGGTGAAAGAATTAAAGCAATGAGAGAAATGATTTTAGCATCTGATTTAGCTGGTAGATAAACTGCATTGGCTAAATTATTACCATTCTAAAGAACTGACTTTGAAGGTATTTTTGAAGCTATGAATGGATATGGAGTAACTATCAGATTGTTAGACCCACCCCTTCATGAATTTGTTCCACATGAAACTGCTTAATAATAAGAATTAGCATAAGAAATGGGATTAACTTTGGATTAAGTTAAATAAAAGGTACATGAATTAGCAGAATTCAACCCAATGTTGGGACACAGAGGATGCAGATTAGGAATTACTTATCCAGAAATTACAGAAATGTAAACAAGAGCTATTATTGAAGCAGCTCTTAACATCAAAGCCAAAGGATTAGAAGTTAAACCAGAAATTATGGTTCCATTAGTTGGTAATGTTAATGAATTAGAACATTAATTAAAAGTTGTTAGAAAAACAGCTGATGCTGTATTCAAAGAGAGAAATGACACTATTCATTATTTAGTAGGAACTATGATTGAAGTACCAAGAGCTTGTTTAGTTGCTGATTAAATTGGTCAAATTGCTGAATTCTTTTCATTTGGTACAAATGATTTGACTTAAATGACACTTGGATTTTCAAGAGATGATGCTGGTAAATTCTTACCATATTATATTACAAATGGAATTTTGAAAGTTGATCCATTCTAAGTTTTGGATAGACAAGGAGTAGGAAAGATGGTTGAATTAGCTGTTAAGAATGGAAAATCAACAAATCCAAATTTGAAAGTTGGTATTTGTGGTGAACATGGAGGAGAACCATCATCAGTTGAATTCTTCCATATTGTTGGATTAGACTATGTCAGTTGCTCACCATTCAGAGTTCCAATTGCAAGAGTTGCAGCAGCCATTGCCAATTTAACAAATCCATGAGTATTTCATTAAAAATATATATAAATATTTATTAATTCAAAATGTCTGATGTTGACATAGAAGACACCATAAACAGAATAAAAAATCATAAATCAGTCTAAGGAATTGTGATTGTAAATAGTGAAGGAGCTATTACGAGAACTACTTACTTAAATGAGAAAAAAGATGAGGGTAACTTCCATAATCATCTCAGGTGATACAATTGCTAAGTCTATTCCTATTTTGGCTTAAAAAGCAAGATCCTTGGTTAGAGACTTAGACCCAACTAATGATTTAGCATTCTTAAGAATTAAAACAAAATTAAATGAAATTTTAATTGCTCCTGATAAAGATCTTTTATTAATTGTTATTCAAGGACCTAAAAAATAAGGAGAAGATGATTAATGATTAATAAGATATTCATAAAATTGTGGAAATATAAAAAATAAAGGAAGGAAGGCAATAATAAAAATAATATTATTATTATTATATAGCTCCATTATATCCATCAATTTCAATTTGTCATATCTGAATTCTTTCATTTCAAATTATCAATATTAATGATGAAACATAATCCTCACTTAATATAGATTACATATAATCTAATAGTATAATGATTATGTCAATATTTATATAATTCATAAAATAATAATTGATTTAGTATTTTTAACTTATTCAATTTTAGTTATCCTCATATGAACTTATTATAGAAACGATATATATAGATTAAGTATTTTACACATTAGTTAAGAATAAGGCTAAATATGAAGTTTATTTTTAAATTTATCTTCAGACCTTTGTGAACAGTATTATTTTAGATTTGTTGAAGATTGATTATAAGAAAGTGTTGATAATATTGATTATTCATTTATTGAATAGGAAATGTAAATGATTAAAAATGATATTAAATATAAAAAATGTCTGTTATTAGGGAATTGAGTCATCAAAAGAGAAACGTTGTGTTAGAATTGTTTGGTACATCAAAAAGAAGAATTGAATAAAAAGAAAATGTATAATCACCTATCAATCGACCATCTAAACGATTTAATTATCCATAATCTAGCAATGCGAGTAAATTATTTCAGATCCTCAAACAGACTCCTTCAATTAAATAATCTGCGTTTAAGTCTTCAAAGAAAAACAATGAAAGCACTGGATTAAATGAAAGCCTTTGCCGAAAAGTATCTAATTTCTCTAATATAGAAAATATTGCATATTGATATTTAAGAACCTAGGACTTATCTTAGACAAGTTATTTCTCCTTATAGAGATTTTCGATCATAAGTCTCATTTGATAATGCCCCTTAAACTTGTGTGGCAGCTCCTCGAAAAATTAGTTAGCCTTAATAATTCAATTAACAAAAGAATTCTGTTCGAAGATCCAATAGTTTCAGAGATCTTTTCAAAAGCTAAATTACATTTGGTTGATACATTAACATAATTTGAATACTTAAAATCCTATATATCAATTTAATTTCTTAAAATAAAAATTAAAGCTCTCTTTCATTCAGAACAAATCAAATCATCAAACTATTCTAAAAAATTATATTTTTCTTATTGAGATCATTAAAATTAAAGATTGGCATTAGATTTATCGAAAAATTATAAACATTAGATGATATCTAACCAGATAGAATAAGTATTGGGAAAATTCAATATATTGTTTTTTGTCTATTTTAGGAAAAATTATTATTTCTTTTGTATCTATAAAATGTCATAAACTCCGAATTTAAAAATCGATGATGTAATTGAAAATTTTTAGGTAAAAGCCTTTTTAGGAAATGGGTCATTTGGAGCAGTAAAATTTAGATATTAAACTAGGTTTATAAAGTTATTGATCCTAATGGAAACGTATATGCTCTTAAATGTATATTTAAAAGCCGTTTTAGTGAAGCGAATGGATGGGTTGGAAATTTAATTATGAATGAAGTAGAAGCATTATAAAAACTGGATAATTAATATATTGTTAATTTAATAACAACTTTTAATTTTGATTATGAAGGCTAAACTCTTTTTTGTATATTATTAGAATTTTGTGATGGTAAAGATACAATTCTTTTCTTTAGGTGGAAATCTTTTGGATTATTAGAATAATATGTAAAATACATTTGATTAATAAAATGCAATAATATTTTTCAAATAAATTCTATAAGGAATGAAAGAAATTCATTAAAAAAGGATCATTCATAGAGATCTTAAATTACCTAATATTTTGATACACAATAATTAAATAAAAATTGCAGATTTCGGTTTCTGTCATCTCTTAAAATTAGATGTAAACTATTTAAGATTTAACATTAAGGCAAGCAGCATTAATTTAAATTTAGGTACTCTTGGTACTTAAGCACCAGAAATTCTCGATAATCAACCTTATGGTTTAAAGTCAGATATGTTTTCTATTGGAGTCATTCTATACTAATTATTGTTTTTTGATTATCCATTTAGTGTGAATAATGAGAAGGATTTTATAATAGATGTTACAAATAACAGTATTTAATTATAGAATTCTTTAGATCCACCTTCTTTTTAGAAAAATGGAAGAGAAGTAGAAAAATATTTGGAAGATTTATTAACAAAAATGTTGAAAAAAGATCCAACTCAAAGATTAGATTGGCCTGATCTTTTTAAATCTAAGCTATTTACAAATAGTTATTCAAGTATTTTAAAAATCATATTAAAGAAATTTTTGGTTTATCAACTATTGATGATGAAAATATAATAGATCCAATCTAAAGCATTATTTTTTATGAATAATAGATATGTAATAATTACATATAGTCGAATATTTAAAAAATTGATTAAGAACCTACTTATCTTAATTTAGTATCTCAAATATAATTTTTAATATACACTTAAGAATTTAGTTATAGTGTTTATCATAGATAAGTTTTAATGGTAAAGTAAAAATTAAATATTTAGTGTCTATTTCCATGTTTCCTAATTCAAAAATTACTATATTAAAAATAATAGGAATACGAGAATTAAAATAAAAATAAGATTTATGATGTCACTAATACTCATTAAATTCTAACATATTAATATTAAGTTGTAATGTAATTGACTATTTTATTCTTTAGGGCAAATTATGCTAAACTTAAAAAATTAAATATTATTTAAGAAAATTGGGAATCTGAATTAATAAATCTATAATAAACTCAATAATTTTTAAATATATTATCTGAAGCTATTTTGAAATATTTAACAAACTTAAGATAAGAAATCATAAAAGATACAGAATAATACGGTATTGATTGGTAATAAATTTTAATTTTTGATAATGATTTAAATAAGTAATAAAGACAAAATGTGCTTTAAAAAATCAAATTTTTTATCTTAATACATAAAGTTCTCTCTTTATAAGAATTAGAACAGGAACTATTTGATTTATTAGTCAACAACCCTCAAACAAATACAAAATAATTAATATTCATTTATTAATAAATTAAATTACCATGAATGTAACATTTATTATATTTTAAGTAATATTTAAAATTAATAATAAATATATAATAGTAGTTTTAAATCATTTTCCTGCCTTTTATTTTAAATTAAACATAAATTCTAACTTTGCTAATTTAACATGAATATCAATTCTGAAAAACAATTTTCTTAAAATAACATCTTATTATCTTCGTTTCATATTTGATATTTTATCAATATTTTATGGTCTAACTGGAATTTTTAATTATTTAATAGGAGATGTCTCTGTCTTTTTAATATTTGGTTCAATACTGGTTGATCTTAAGGATTATGGAATTTATGATGTTGCTTAAACTTTTACTAATGTAGGTTCTTTGCTTTTTTAATTAGACATTTAGTTTAAATTAATAATATCTAATACTTAAGCAACTGGAGTACGTTTAGTTGGATCTTCCAAAATAGATTAATCAATATGATAAATAGCATTACTGTTATCAAGATTCTGATAAGGAATCTCAGAAGGTAAAGTTTAAGTTTCAATTTATAATTGTTTAAATCTATTTGTATCAATGCTTGAACCTCTTGCACTACTATCTCTTCTACTTCTTAAAGGAGTAAAATTCTTTTCTGGTCTCAAAGCATTGCAATTAATTGGTTATATTTTGATACGAGAGACAGCTTATTTTTATTCAGAAAAATTTATTGACGACTTGTTATCAAATGCTAGTTATTTAACTTCAGTCAATTAATTCACCTTTTTTAAAACTCTTGAATCATTCATTTATATTGGTTATAATTAAATTAATTATTCTTCATTTTCTTTTTAAGGTGATTTTAAAATTTTAGATTATTATGGTATCTCTATCATCTTCACTTAAACAATTCTATCTTCATCAGAATGATTATCTTAAATAGTAAATACAGGTTTTTATTCTTTTTCAATTTACTTTTAAGGTGAATCTTCTTTTTTAACTATTATATTTTCATTTTATTATTCGGTTAAGATATTGTTCAAGTCTACTTTTTCATTCTTTTCAGGAATAATATCAATTTTTAATATGTTTTCTTATTCTTACTTTTTAAATAGATTATGTCTAATAGGACTTTTCTTCTTTGGTTAAACTGATATTTAATCAAATATCTACATTATATTTTATATTTTATTATTATCCTATTTTTTTTCACTCTACAAAATTTACATAAAGCTATCTTATTATTAATCAATAAAATCACTGTTATTTTAATAATCAATTACTGATTGTTATTCCATAACTTCAACAGTTTTCTTTTATTTTGAATTTTAAATTTAATCTATCTTCAAAAATGATTTTATTTATTTTTATTATTAATCAGGAATTATAGTTTAAGATTCAAAAGGTACAAGTGATGATACTGTTTCTTAATCATCTTTTTGTGTTTAAGATTCCAATACTTAATCTAATGATTTTTCTGGTTTTACATAAAGTTTATTAATAAAATTATTTAGTTTAGATTGAACAGGTGGTAAATCAATATCTAATACTACAATTTTTTATAATTAAATATTATTATCTAAAGGTAAAGAATTAGATACAATATCCTTTTATAATTATAATTATGTTTTCAATTAATCTAATTTTTTAGAATTAGTTTTAATTTCTGTTTTATTTTCAAAAATATCATTAATTAAAAATACTTATCTTTTTAACTAAAACCTACCTTTTTCATCATCATCTTAACAAACACTTTATTCAAATGAACTCTCTTCATCCAATGTATATAAACTATTATTCTAAGTTTTAAATCTTGGTTAATCATAAGTTTCTCTAATAGATTATAACTTTTAACTTATTATATTTTAAGATTAAATTTGTAAATCTTAAGTTTACTTATCAAAATTATCTTATTATTTTTCTACTTAACAATAATTATCAGATATTTCTTATTTATATTCTTCATTATTTGGTTTTGTTTATAATTCAAATTTATTTTTATATTATTCCAACAATTTTGATGGTTTAATTTAGATATCTTCCAATTCTAAGTTTGTTTAATTATCATTTATGTTTGTTTATTCTTATTCTTAAATTGTAACTTATTTCTCAATTAATGGTATTTTTGTTATTTCAAGTGGAACTATAATATCAGAATTAGATTATGTATTTCTTTTAAAATTAAAAGTTGTATCTATAAAAAATTAATTAGTTTCTTATTTCTTTTCTGATCTATATTCAATTTCTGAGTTTTCTTATTTATTTGATCTATCAAAAAAAGTATCAAGAATATTATTATTTGTAGATTGACGAAATCTTGATTCTGAAGATAAATCATCTTTTCTATCATATCTATCAGTTAATCTATTACTAGTATCAGATCTTTCAGTTTTATCTCCTTTTAATTATTTACTTTGTCTAATATCTTAATTTCTTTTTTTATTTGGAGGATCCCAAGAATCAAATAATTATTATTTTAATGTGGAAACATTACTTCTACAAAATGTTCTTTCTAAAACTGATATTGATTAATCATTTTAATTAACTTTCTATATTGATTTTAATATTGCACAACAGAATTATGAATAAATATCTGAAAATATAAACTTAATTTCTTAAAATTCTTTTTTTTTACAATTAATTGTAATTTCATTACCATAATTCATCTTTTTGAATAATGTCTAATTCACATAAAATTAATGAGATTAAAAATCTTCTAAATTCCATTATAAAAGATATTTCCCTTAAATAGCAAATATAAATTTATTATTAGCACTAATATCTTCCAAATTATTAATCTTTAATTTTATCATTTTATTAGTATAACAATAAGCATCACCATTTTCTGTAATGGCAATACCACCAAATTAAAATAATAAGGATTTCTTAAAATATCCATTAATTCCTAATCCATTTAGTTATTGAATTGGTATTTAAATATCATTTTCAATATTAAATATTTTTCCACCAACTAATAAATATACATATTATTTATGTACTTGTTATTAAAGTTAATTTTTCTTTGTAAGTACTTATATGTTTACAATGACTATAAATTGTCTTATTACTTTTCCACCAAAATCCTCTTCCAGAATGATCTATTGCAGTTGTTGGAGTAATAGTCATATAATTTTTGCCTTAAACTAATTGCTTTGGTTGTTAATCAATCTAAAAAAGATCTCCATTACCTTTAAATAATATAATAATTTGTACTCATTAAACAAAATATTACTTTTCCATCAGAACAAATTTGCTGAACTCCTGATAGAACATTTACTGCTTCCTATTCAGTAAATTATGTGATCTAATTATCACTAACTACAAGTCTTTTTAAGTTGTGATTATCAATAAAATAAAGCTAAACACCCAACTTTATGGCCTAAGTAAATTTGAATCTAAGTGTTTAGATATTCTAGAGTTATAATAAATTGCATACATCCAACTAATCAAAAATAACAGACATATTTTATATACGTTAATATTATAAATTATCAATAATTCAAGTAATTCTTATTAACTAATAAAATAATTCATTTTTATCATTAAAAATAATAAATGAAACCTTAAATGTTTGTATTTGTATTAGGATTCTAAAATATTTTATATTTGTAATTGTTCTATTCTAAATGAATTATACATTTTTATATAATAAAACTATTATTATAAATAACAAAAATATAATATAATCTTAATTCAAGTTCTTTATATTCTTTATAAATATAATTATTCTCAATATTTTAAAAATACATCTAATTATCTTAATAACTTAATTATTGTTGAAACAAATATTAAGTATACTAATATATAATATTCTGATGAATCATTTATCTTGAAATTATCAATATTTGTTTTATCAAAATCTAAATAAATGAAAAAACAAAACTTTATTTAAATGGTTATCATTTTTTATTTTAAATTAATGCTACTTTCTTCTTCTTTGTTTAAATTATTATATAAACTTCTTATTATGAATTCTATAAAATATTATTAAGTAATTATAAAAGTATCAAAATGAATTCATTATTCGAACTTTTAGATAATTATGATGAAAAAGAAAAGGAGATCTTTGAATTGTAAATATCGCATGCTATTCAAGCCTCAATTCAAATAAAAATAATATGTTGGATTTTTTGAAATTAGTTATTGAAACACCTAGTGACTTACATCCAAAGTATGTTTAAATCCCTTAATTAGATATCCTTTCATTGTTAGTGAATTAATGTTTGGAAGCTATGAACAACTACTATCAATGATGTTTGAATGGGATAGAGAACCAATTTAATATTTGCTGACATTCTTCAATTATCCATAAAATGACACATCATGTGGCTACTTTGAAAAAATGATTAGACCTCTAATTTTATTAAAATCAAATGAAATAAAACCCTTTTTAGAGATTTCTTCATGGATTAAATATATTGATTAAGAGTCCATTCAAAATATATTCTCTACAATATTAGCATCCAATAATTTAGATGAAAATTTTAAACAAAATCTGTTAGGAATGCTTTTAAATTAAACCAATATTAATGAGAATGTATTTAGAATAATAATTAATTACTCAGACTTATTTTAATAATATGTGAATCAACATTAAGAAATTTTTGGAGTTGTTTGTAATCAATCTCCTCCTACATTTCATTAATTATGTACAATTGAATTATTTATTGGATGGAATATGTTAAATTTAGAATGGCTTCATAATTAAATTATTTATTTGGAATCATTACTATATAGAAATTTTGACTTTTGTAAATCTACCATGAATTTCTTACATAAACCATAAGGATTAACAGAGATTGATTTAAAAATCATACATATACTAACAAAAACTATAAATAGACCAGAGACAATTAAATTTTAGAATATATTACTTGAATTGTTAATAAAATATGAATGGAATAATAATTTATAAAATATTGCTATAAAAATGTATGAATAAATGTCTTAAGTGGAAACACCTCATAAATAATATGTATTATTTTTCATAAAAAATTTTAGTTTCAATCAATAATATCTGATTTCATAAAAAATAATGTAAATTTTGAAAAATTTTAATTTGGTTTAAAAACTTAATTGCCAAGAGGATATAGATGGGTATTTACTAGAATTGTCAAATATTTTTCATTAAATTTTGATTAAGCTTAAGATATAAATATATTAGAAGCAAAATATTTATTGAATGAAGATCCTTATAATACTAGAGAAAGATAATCTATAAATATTTTAGAAAAGGTATCAGAAAGAAGAACATAGAGGGCAAAAAGAATTTAGGAAGAAGAAATGTAAAAATAAGAGGAAAAAGAACAAATTCAAAAAGAAGAAGAAGAAGATAATGATGAGACCGATTAATTCTTTTAACCTAGAAATAGTTTTGGAATAAAACCAATTATAAATGATGAAGAAGTGGAAGATGAAATTCCAGTAAGAGAAAATTAACATAGAAACAGTTTTGGAATAAAACCTATAATATATGAAGAAGAAGAAGTTGAAGATGAAATTCCAATAAGAGGAAGATCCAGTTGTCAATTCAAATAAGATGATAAAGATTGATTTTTTAAATTTTGTTTATTTTAATATGATTGTAACTAAAAATTTAATGAAATTTACAAAATATAATAATTATAGTTTAAAGGTAGTCATGAATAATTCAGTATAATTATAGTTCAATATATTGAATTGATGAATAAATTCTTATTTCAATATTTATAAACTTTTTTTAAGTATGGAACAACAATTGATTATATTTTAATCATTTAAGGGATTTCAAAAAAATAATCATTTATTTAAAAACAAAAGAGAGTGACTATAAATAATTCATTTAAAAATTTAATCTTATTCTTGAAAATGATTCTGTTATTACAAAATAATAAAATACTTTTTAATAAATTTAATTAATAGATTATTTTGATATATTTATGTTGATTCTCATATTTTGACATTTTTATCACTTCTTTATATTATTTTACCTATTGTTATGGCTGCACTTTAATTAATCGTGAATTTACTTTTTTATTCTTAATTTCTTCTTTAATTTCTTTTCATTCTTATATTTAATATTATATATATACCTAAAGAGTACCATACTAATATTAAATTCTGGATAATAGGTATCAAAATCTTACATTCTATCTAAATTAACTTTATAGATATCCTCCATACAAGGATTCTTTTGATATTTTCAAAGATAAAATACCTCGCTAACTAAATTTAAGAATTCTGTAACAGTAGGTAAACTAGGAGTTTATAATTTTACAATTGGACTTGGATTGCCTTAGAGTGAAGGTAATAGTTTGAAAGAATGAACTCTATTCAATATATTTGAAATTTTCAAATCAAAAATATTCTTAGATTAGAGTTTTTATTATTGTTGTTAAGATGAGCTTTGTGAAAAACATTCTTATTACTACTAATCCCTTTAATCACTCTGTTTCATTATTTCATTATTAAGATCATTTAAGAAATTATTTTATGATTCTCCTGGATATTTTTAGTCATTTTTTTCTTGACTTTATTCTAAAATACTGGAGGATAACTATTTAAATTCAGATGAAATTTCTTCATTTGAAACTTGATTTGAATGTATTTCATTTAATTATTTAAAATGATTTCCAAAATTAACTTGATTTCTTTTTCTTCTTTTATTATCTATGAAAATATTACTTATATTTTACATGAACTTCTAGTTTAATTTGCAGAATAAAGATATTTATCATAAAAATCAATATTGTTTTTTATTAAATGTATTTTTGGACAATTAATTATTAAATGTGTTTTCTCTTAACAATATAAACAAACTGAATCTATCATTTAATAGTTGTTATTAAATAGAATTTAATCTTTAATGAATGTGGCAATTTCCTATGATTAATAAAAATTATACCAAATCTTAAACATTTGATGATATAATTTTTAGAAATTTTTCTCTACTTAACTTATATAGAAGACAATAATCTAAACCTGTTATTAAATTTTTGTTTTCTTAGCCAGTAAAAAACGAATATTAACCAAAACATTGACCACTAAAAATTTTTTAATATTCTGGTATTGATTCTGTTAAACCATATGCTACTTTACCTTAATTTAGAAGATAAATATTATATTAATCACCATATTGATTACATATTAATTTATCATTTACATTTAGAATAATTGGTGTAAGATTTTAAGCTATCTATTATTAAGATGTTTTTGAAAATTTTGAAAATATTGAAAATTATTTAACAAAATTTATTAATTGTTGTTCTTTAAATTCTTAATATATTTATTCTTTTTCTAAACATTATTCAAAATAATTTTCAATATTTTATATTTTTTTATCCTTTAAACATATTTCATCTAACTTTTAAGAAATTTATAACTTCAAAGTTGAAGAAATATGTTATTTGTACAAGAATCTTTAGAGCAATTTCAAATCTTTTATTTTTTTAAATTCTTAATAAAAATCAAGAGAATCTAAAATAATTAACTTCAAAATTAAAATCTTATAAAAGAGAAGGATAAATGTGGTACAAATATTGAAAATCCTATTTTATATTAAATCAATTTCAACATTAAATTTTAAATTTCCAAATTATAGAATATAATTTAAATATATTACTAAGTACTCTTCAAACATTTCTTAATCTTCTTTAACTTCTTAATTTATTATAAATTCTTATCTTAAATTTATACAAGTAAAAAAATGGCAGGTCAATAAAATTTAAATAATCTAGATAATTAAATCACTTAATTCATAAAATAATCTCTTATTAAAAGCTAGAATTATCTTTTTATAAATTATAAATTCAATTAATAGTAAACTAATAGTTTTTATGAGTTCATTTTCTGAAAGAATTAGTACTGTAAGTAAAACAATAGTAGATGTATCCATCAAAATTTTTGATGACTTAAAAATATATTCGAGAAATTATTTACTCTATTATAAATATTCCTCCTAACATATTTATGTTGTATATTTATAAATCTAATCTAAAATGATTAGAATAATCAATATAGCATATAAATAATTTCCATAACCATTAGCTTAAAATATGTATTCTATAGGAGAAACGATCAACAGTAAAATACAAAAAAAAAAAATTATTGAATCCCATATAATATTTAATAAAGGTTATAGAGAATTTTTATACACTTTTTTTCCAATATTGAGAGGTGAAAAAAGCATAGAATTAATAATTTTGAATTGTTTATTTCTAAGGGCAAGGTGTTATTTTAATTTATTAATAAATGCAAGTACCTTTTTTTAATTTTATTGAAATGTATTCACTTCTGTATTATTTATTTTTGCACTAATTTATTCTCTTTGATTTCTAAACTACCATTTAATTCCTTTAGTTTGCTTATTGGCTTTCAAATCAAACGTCTCAAAAGCAGGTGTTTTATCTTCTTCTACTTCGTAAGAAGGTTGTCTGGGATGAGACATATTTATCCTTTTACCAACTTAAAAAGAATTCTCTTTTTAATTGTTGTTTAGCCTAAGCTTTTAGGAATTTATTTACATTATACTTCCATCATAACTTTGAGAAGGACTAAGAATTAAAAATTCATTTTTCATTTCATCTTATATCATCATATTTATAAAATAATTAATAATGAAGTTCAATTAATTGTTCATAATTATTTTTAAACTGATATTGAAATGATTTTTTATTTAAGAGCTTATTTTTTGAATAATAAACAAAGTTAGTTGAAGTTTTTTATAATAGTTCATATAAATCAAATATTACTGTATGATTGATAATCCTTAATAAATCTAAGAGGATTTAGTAATATTAAAAAATGATTTAAAAAAAACAACGTTCTTTTATAATAAAACAAAAAAATGTTGGTAATTAATTTAATATAAAATAGTTATTTTTATAAAATGCTATAATTTGCTCATAAAAAATTTAATGAAACCAATATANCTTAATTCATAAAATAATCTCTTATTAAAAGCTAGAATTATCTTTTTATAAATTATAAATTCAATTAATAGTAAACTAATAGTTTTTATGAGTTCATTTTCTGAAAGAATTAGTACTGTAAGTAAAACAATAGTAGATGTATCCATCAAAATTTTTGATGACTTAAAAATATATTCGAGAAATTATTTACTCTATTATAAATATTCCTCCTAACATATTTATGTTGTATATTTATAAATCTAATCTAAAATGATTAGAATAATCAATATAGCATATAAATAATTTCCATAACCATTAGCTTAAAATATGTATTCTATAGGAGAAACGATCAACAGTAAAATACAAAAAAAAAAAATTATTGAATCCCATATAATATTTAATAAAGGTTATAGAGAATTTTTATACACTTTTTTTCCAATATTGAGAGGTGAAAAAAGCATAGAATTAATAATTTTGAATTGTTTATTTCTAAGGGCAAGGTGTTATTTTAATTTATTAATAAATGCAAGTACCTTTTTTTAATTTTATTGAAATGTATTCACTTCTGTATTATTTATTTTTGCACTAATTTATTCTCTTTGATTTCTAAACTACCATTTAATTCCTTTAGTTTGCTTATTGGCTTTCAAATCAAACGTCTCAAAAGCAGGTGTTTTATCTTCTTCTACTTCGTAAGAAGGTTGTCTGGGATGAGACATATTTATCCTTTTACCAACTTAAAAAGAATTCTCTTTTTAATTGTTGTTTAGCCTAAGCTTTTAGGAATTTATTTACATTATACTTCCATCATAACTTTGAGAAGGACTAAGAATTAAAAATTCATTTTTCATTTCATCTTATATCATCATATTTATAAAATAATTAATAATGAAGTTCAATTAATTGTTCATAATTATTTTTAAACTGATATTGAAATGATTTTTTATTTAAGAGCTTATTTTTTGAATAATAAACAAAGTTAGTTGAAGTTTTTTATAATAGTTCATATAAATCAAATATTACTGTATGATTGATAATCCTTAATAAATCTAAGAGGATTTAGTAATATTAAAAAATGATTTAAAAAAAACAACGTTCTTTTATAATAAAACAAAAAAATGTTGGTAATTAATTTAATATAAAATAGTTATTTTTATAAAATGCTATAATTTGCTCATAAAAAATTTAATGAAACCAATATAATTAATTTAATAATAATTTATATAAAGAAGTAGTATTTATTAGATTATAGGTATTATTTAAAATTAAAATTCATTTCAATAGAGATAATAATTATAAGATACTTTATAAAAATACATTATCAAAAATTCTAAGAAATAGGAGTTATTTTTGAATTAAAATAAATGATTTACATTTAAAATATATATCCACAACAAAAATTAAAAGATCTAATATTTTAAGTAGTATATTAGTAATAGAGTATAATTAAAGTTTTATTCGCTTTTGATACAAATTATATAATGTTATATAATTATTACATCTTCAAAAATTTTAGTCAACATTAACAAAAGGTTGAATTATATAATAAATACAAAATTATAAAAAAATTAAAAAATAATATACAATAAGTATGACATTCGTAAATAGTATTATTTTTATAAATTATATTTTATTTTCCTAATTATATATCAAATGAGTTTAATAGTATTGCTTCTTTTTAATATCTAAATCTAATTTAACTTATATTAATATCAAAAATTAGATCATATATCCCTTTTCAATATAATTAATATATATCTATTTAATAAACATACAGAAAATTATGATTTATTTTATTAGAAGCATTTATTGAATTTACTCATATATTTAAATTAGTATTTATCTTAAATTAATTAAGTTATCATTAAATATAATGGAAGTTTTATAAATAATTGATTCATCCATCTATTATTAATTATTTCTGAAAATTAATAAAGAATAATAAGAATTGAGTATACATATTTATATTTAAAATAATCCATTATTCATTACAATAATATTTATTAATGTATTTCTTCTTTAGTTCTTTTTTTTCTCTTTTATTTAATTTATACTGTTTCTTTTTTTGCTATCTCTTTCTTTATTTTTATCACATTATCTTATTTATTGAGTAAAACATTCCAATTAGTAAGAGGATCCTAATCTTAAATAACCAAGGAATCAAAATAGGATTCATTATATTTGACACCTAAATTTTAAGATAAACTCAATTAATAAAATAATTACTTTTAAATTACACTCTTGAACATATTCTTCTCTCTTGTCATCTTTTATTTTAATTTTGCATAAGAAGCCTCTAATTTTACAATGTAAGTAATCAAATTGGTTTAATCACTCATTTTTTATTATATAATAAAAATTAAAAAAATCAAAGTCCAAAATTTTTAAGGTTATTTTTTCTTTATAATAATTTTCAATTATAATTTTCTATTAATTACTCTGGCACTTTAATTTAATAATAATTTCATTAATTAGCTCATTTGCTCTAGATTATATTATATGTCTAACTTCGAATTAAAATAGCCTTGTTAAGTAAACATCAATTAAATATAAAATTTAAATTTATAAGATAATTGTATTAGAAATTCAAAATTCTATTTAAAATATTCTACAAAATTAAGATTTATATGATTATCTAGAATTTTTTATTTGTTTAAATCAGCAATCAATACTATTTTGATATAAAGATTATTTAAATCTCTTATCATATTAAAATATTGAGATTTATTTAATTTATACAATAAATTCAGTCCATGTGAATAAATATTTAATAATTGATAGATTAAGTATAATTAATTAAAGTAAAAGAATCACAATGATGTTTAAAAATTTGGCAAATAATTCCTAAAATTAGTTTGTGATATGCATTCTTAATATTTTTGTTAGTTTATAAACAAACTATGAAATAAAGTAATACTAGTTGAATTATAAAAATATTTTCCAATATTAAGTTGAAAATATCAATAATTTACTTTTAATTATATTTTCTTTCTTTCTGCATTCAATAAATACTCATAATGGCTAGGATATGATTATGAAATATTGTACTTTTTTTATTTGTTTTAGCAATTATTCAGTAAGATTGTTTTAAATTATTTGAAAAGAGGTAATTAAAAAGAACTTTATAATGGAGAGACTTCTATTGTGAGAGGATTTTCATTAAATTTTAAAAAATCAATACTATATAATTATGTATGATCTTGCTTTTCAAATTATTCTAACATCTATATTGTTTTATATCTTAAAGCTTCAGACTTACAAAACAAAGCATTTTAAATCAAAAATTATACTAAGATTTCATATTATGTAAAATTTATATAATTTGATGACTTTGCACTAGAGTCTAGTTTTAATAAAGAAATATACAAACTTTACATCCTGATTAGGTAGGATTGTCTAATACTTTATTAACAATATTCTAAAGTCTTTTAATACTCTGGTTACATCCAATTATTTTATATAATTATATAATTTATAAAAAAAATTTCTATGTGGAAAGTGTTATTTTTTTTACCTTAATATAGTAAATTTAATTTTATACATCTAAATTCTTTTAAAATTATCCTACTTCAAAAAACTAATAACAATTATGAAATATAGAATACTTAGAACTTACAATTTCATATGTAATCTATCAACTTTTGTACATAAATTATTAATAATTAGTAAGCAATTGAAAATACTATTAATTAAAATGAATTTATTTAATTACATTTCTATTTATTTTTTATTATTTTTAAGATCTTAAGATAAAAATGGAATTTAATTGTATTATTGAAAGAGAATCCTTTTACTTAAATGTCAAGGATAAATCCTTATCAATTAGTAATTAATCTACCTCATACACATTTGATTTATCTTTGAAGACTATTATAACTTGGTTATTTAGAGAAAATGAAATGAATGGTTTCATATTAGAAAATCTAATTGTAGAAGGAGATAGTTTAAATATGAAATAGCTTAGATCATATCTTGGAGGTGAAATTACATACACTGGGATTTAAATATTCTATTCTTTTAATGGTGAGATAAATGTAGGCAAAAATAAAGCAACTAAAGTATTTTATATGTATAATAAAAAGGTTTGTTCTCTCATCAATAGGTAAACTAAATTAAAGTTCTCTTGTAAATGCTTTAAGAAAAGTGTAATAGGAATAGAAAAGATTCATAAGGAGATCGAAATTATAAAGAAAGCATCTTAACATGGATTGGCTCCTAAAATTTATGAATGTTTTTCATCAAATAATTGTGTATATCTAATAATGGAAAATTTAGAAAGAATTTAGGATTAGGCATTTATGGAAGATGATGTTATGTTATTTCTCTATGTAATTACTTTTTTATATGTAGAATTTGATATAAAGTATATCACTACTTCATTAGTTGAATATTGTTCATAAAAGCATAAAGAAATCACATATTATGTTTACTGAAGACAATAAATTAAAATTGGTTGGATTTGGAAAAGCTAACAATGCTAATATTCAAAACAATGAGTTTAGACTGGACATTTTTAAAATCGGAATTATAATGCATAAATTGTAAGGATTTTAAATAATATAATAGCTACTAAAAATAGAATTTTCAAGATGATTAATTCTCTCTTATACCAGATGAAGGAAATTCACTATTAGAATCTTTGTTGAATTGGAAAAGCAACTCACAATTTCAATTAAAAGAATTATTATGTCACTCTTATTTTAAATTGCTAAAAACTGAAGGAATATCATTATGTTAATTTTTATATCTATTTTAGAAATCTAATGTATGAATCCTAAATTCAAAACTCATATTTTTTAAGACGAAGAACAAGAATCATTTTGATTATAACTACAATTAAAACTTTATATATTTTTCATAAACTAGAGTTAATAAAATTTAAAACTAATTATTCTGTCTTTTTTATATTATAACAAGATAATATCTGATTCATATAAACAGTTTATTATTTTTGAATGAATAATGTCTTGAATTTTATAGAATTTGTATATTGAAATTTTTCAATGGATATATTAAGTATTATATTAATAAAAAATGTATTAAATTGAAATTGAATAATCAATATATTTATCCATATGATTATATGAAAAAGTAAGAACTTTCGAAAATAATTTCAATATAATTTTATTTCTTTTGGTTTAATGGGTTTGGTTGACATATAAATCATAATGATTGATAAAACTCAATTAATTAATTTAGATTGCCAAATAATCTAATTGTAAATGTTCTTTTAGTTTTTTATTTAACTCTTTCTAAAATAGGACCATAATCCATTATAGTTGTTTCTGGTCTTCTTTTTTTGAGAGCCATCCATTCATTAAAAAGATCTTAAAGTAATAATTAATGTAATTTTTTCCAAAAATTATCTTCTCTAACAAGAAATCTACAAAAATTTTTAAGTGCTATTCTATCTGCAATTTCCTATAATATTAATATTAATTATACCTTAATATCTCTTTCATCAAGTTGCTCTTACAAATGAAAATATCTCTTAATAAAGAAAGTGATATTGATTGAAGATGCTGCAAAATAAAAATCATTTTATGGTTTACACATTTCTTTAACCATATTGTCTTTATAATCACTCACAAAATTAATAATATCATCTAATGATTATATTCCACCTCCTCTAAAATCTGTTGTTGGATCAGCCTATTAAAAACCAAACTCAGTCCATTTTTAATTTCTAATTTCTTCCAAATCACTTTCTGTTAATAGATACCATAAGCCTTTAATTCTTTTAACACAATTTTCATCTTTATGAGAATATAAAGGATATAATTCAACTCTTAACATCCACCATTCTTTAATTTCTTAATTTGTTAGATTATAAGTTTCATCAAAACAAGATGATAAGTACTTCTCTTTAAATTCCTTATTTTTCTAATGTGTTATAGGCTCATGAGCCATTTAAATTTCAGACCATGGATGATTCTTTTGTTAATTTATCAAAACTATGATTTGATCTTATGGTTATTATAATTCTTAATTCATTTTTTTTAATATGCTTTTATTACATTGTTAAAATTAAAATGAAAATTATGAATATAGACTTAATTGAACATTTTCCTAATGGGATTTATTAGGAATATAATTTTAAATTATTTAAAAGTTTAAATTTTTTATTTAGAAATGAAGCTACCTTTCCTTCTAAATGAATAGAATATTAATATAAGAAACTATTTATCTAATAAATATATAAATAATAACTATTTCTATAATGTATTTTAGATTTTATAATTTGATAATAGAATCACTTTAATTGATTCAACACCTAATCGAATGTAGGTAATCTATTGGCTAATCCTCCTTCAGCAACTAAAGTAGGTCTGTTCTTCAATAAATCAACAACTGCTTTATTAATTTAGTCTGATGTAACTGAGTCAATATAAGTGGCATAATCATTTATTTTAATTGCATTGAATACTTTCAACTATAATATATTATTTATTAATTATACGCTTTTAGCTGCTTCTTCTAATCTATCTGATGTTCTTTCAAGTGCCAAATACAATTAAGTCTTTAAAATATTCTTAGCTCTTGTTAATTCAGTATTTGAAATAGGTCCTGTAAGATTTTTCAATTCATTTACAACACTACTAAGTAATTCAGTTCCTTTGTCTGCTGATCCAATGATTTTGACTCCAAATAATCCAGCATCAGAAAAAGTAAAGTTCAAACTTTCAACAACATCAGCATATGAATTCTTGTTTAAGACTATATATAATAGTTAAAAGTATAAATACTGTTTCTTTATAATCTTGATTAAGCACTTCCTTATAATCCCAAAAGAGCATTTAGTACTTAAAATACTGCAGCTTATGAATTGGTCCAATTAGTTGATGGGAATAATAAAGCAATAGCAATTTCATTATCATCTGTTAAATTTCTAACTTCACCTCCAACATATTATGTTTATGTTCTAACCTTAGAAGTTTAACCAGCAGGGATGAATCCAAGAGAATCTTAAACCAAACTAACAAATTCAGTATGATTGTAGATTCCAGCACCAGCAACAATAATTTTAGATGGATTGATATTTTCCAATTAAAATTTCTAAATTGTATAAGCACTCAAATTTCCAATATTAGTTTTAAATCCTCTTAATGGCATTCCCAAACCAGTCAAACCAAAAGCAGTCTTAAATATTGTTTCATTAAATCCTTCTCCACCTATAAATTAAATCTTTAATTAATTTACTTTTAATGATATTTTCCAAATTATGTGTTCCATAATTTTTTTCAACAGCAGAATTTGCAGCTACTACTGATCTTGGCTCTAATGCACAATCAGATACAACTTTGAATACATCTACTACATCATGAGCCAAACAATGAGCTTTGAAGTATGCACTTTCTTAATCATAATCCATTTCAAATTCACCTCCTGATTATTGAATAACACCACTAAATAATATTAGATTTTTATTTACTAATTGATTGTCTCATTTGTATTTAAAACAGTCTTATAATAAGTATTCTTGATAGACAATAAAGATCCTGATGTTTCATTTGTTTCATCTCTTGTTCCAACATCCAAAAGAATTCCAACATCTACTCTAGAAGGAGATGAAGCACTCTCTGTCAATACAGTGATCCCATTTGAAAGTTTTGTAACCTCATATCTTCTTTCTTATTCTCTAATCTCACTACCTGGTTGTCCTACTGCAGATTTGGGACAAGCTGCACCAAGTTTGTAAAGATCAGAAGACTTATCGTCTCTGTAAATTAAATCATGTAATTAGGCTCTCAAACTTGAGAATTTAAATTGGGACTAGTCAAATTATATAAATTCATACCTTTGATGCAATTCTTCCTGAAACTCTAAAAAGCATGATATTTTATTTTAAAATAAATTTTGTTAACTTTATATCAATAACACAATCAAATAATAGGTATTAAATAAATATAATATTATTCTCTAATTAATAAGAAAACTAACATTAAACATATCAAGAATAGCACTAAGCATATATAAATTTACAAATCTATTCTTATTAAGAAGTAGTTATTCTAAACCATAGCCACTATTTTTGTATAATGTTTAAATATAATACAGAAAATACTTTAAATATTTACAATTAACCCTTAATGTATGATATTATTATCAATATCTATCATATTAATTATGTATTAGACCATTTATAAAATTATAAATAATAACTATAGTCAAATAATATTATTTATTTGGCTGTTTTATATTAAAATTACTTATACAGATAATTATTCTTATATAAGACATTTAAATGTTAATATCTTTAATTTTTATGAAAGAATTAAATGATAGTTGCTAATTTATTTATCTTATATTTATATAACAATTCAATTCAAATACAATTCCTTCAAACAAAATTTACATTAAATTAACATAATGTTACATTATAAATTAATTAACATATGAAATAATCTTTTTCTAAATATTTAGAGAAACTTATCATATCAATTTA